AAGTTCAAGCACCAGTATTAGCACATTAAAAAAAAAGAAAAAAAGAAAAAAAACAGCACACATTTGAGGATGTGAACTACAGAAAGGGAGATGAGAGCATCTGGAGAAACCACAAAGGAAAAGAGAGCTGGTTACCCTGGCCTGTGCACTTTGGTGCAAGCCTATTGCTAACAAGCAGGGCAGAATGCCCCCACAACCAGCTGAGGCCACATTGTTGGGGTGGGGGGGAGGGAGGCAGGAGGACAACACACACCAATGAACAGGAATACCAACTAGCACTGTGGGCTGTGACATCTCCAATGGGGTCCAAGTGGGAGGACAAGAGTGGGGGAGAGCTCACCCTAACTCTGTACCTTTGCTCCCCTGAGAGGCTCTTTGGTGTTTTCCTCAATTCATCACTTCTGCCGATTAGGATATAAGTACATTCTAGTTCTGCCCCATGATCTCACAGCCTTGTAAATAAGCAAAAAGACCAGATAGCAGGGGCTGAGCACGGGTGGCTCATGCCTATAACCTAAGCTACTCATGAGGCTGAGATCTGAGCATGGCTCAAAGCCAGCCTGGGCAGGAAAACCTATGAGACTCTATCTCCACTAAACTACCAAAAAGCCAGAGCGGAGCTGGGCACAAGTGGTAGTCTTGAGCAAAAGAAGCTCAGGGACAGGGCCCAGGACCTGAGTTAAAGACCCAGTTCCGCCATAAACCAACAAAAAAGGTTAAAGGGTGTGTGTCTCAAGGGATAAAGCACCTGCCTAGTAAGAAGCAGAAAAGAAAAGAAAAAAAAAAAGACAATTTGGAATATTCAGACAAGTAGGAAATCAGAATACTTCCAGATTCTTTCATGTCCCATGTCTGCATCTCCACTTTGAGATCACCCTAAAAGCCTTTTTATCATCTTATAGTATTTGATATGCTATGTCTAATAATGAGTGATGTAATTATAGTTTCTATATTTTATGGAACCTAAAAACATTTCCTGCAAATCCCTGCCCTTCAGGTAAGGAGGTTGGGTGTTTATGCCATGGGAAATGGTGGGACACTGTGGATCTCTTTGCGCAGGCGTGGGGAGGGAGAACTATGACAGAGGCCACGCTGCTGGGGCTCTCTAGCAGCTCCTGACACAGTAACAGCTCTGCCTACACCGTGTGGGAGATGAGAAACCGTGCTCACTTTTGTTTTCTCTTTTGTTCCAGATGCCGATCCCACTCCAAGTCTAGAACATCGTTCACATCCTGGACCGCAAATTTTACGTATTGATGAAGGCGCCGAATTTCCTACAAGAAAAAAAAAAATAGGTAACACATCTTTCTAGTAGTGGCTTGAGGGAACATGTATCAAAACAGTCAAAATAATTTTATGGTATTTCTATAGTGAGAACAGTTATAACAAGGAAAACATAACAGGTCTCAATACAGTCATTAAAACCTTATTATAAGCTACACACTGGTAGCTCACATCTGTAATCCTCACCTACTCAGGAGGCTGAGATCTGAAGATCACAGCTCAAAGCCAGCATGGGGCCGGAAAATCCATGAGACTCTTTTATCTCCAATGAAACACCAAAGAACAGGAAGTGGAGGTGGGGCTCAAGTGGTAGAGCACTAGCTTTGAGCAAAAAAGCTAAGGGACAGCGCCCAGACCCTGAATTTAAGACCCAGCACCAGCACAAAAAAAACAAAAGAACATTAAGTTGAAAAGTGTGTCATTGTTTTGCCACTGGTAAGGAATTTTATGAAGTGTGTGATATATCATTAGTAGAAAATCAACAGCTCAGGCTGGGAAGGTGGCTCAGTGGTAGAGAGCTTGCCTTGCATGCATGAGGCCCTGGGTTCGATTCCTCAGCACCACATAAGCAAAAAGAAAAAAGCCGGAAGTGGCGCTGTAGCTCAAGTGGTAGAGCTGAAGAGCTGAGGGACAGCGCCCAGGCCCAGAGTTCAGGCCCCATGACCGGACCCCCCCCCAAAAAAAAAAAAGAAAAAAGAAAATCAACAGTTCTCTAAGGGGCTACCGTCCAACTCTACACCTTAAGAAAGACATGGAAAGGACTGGGGGTGTGGCTCCAGTGGCACACTGCACTTGACTGACAAAGGAGAGGACGAACAAATGGAAGGCCAGCAGAGGGTGCTGTGTCACTTGCCCTACCTGGAGCTGAGCCTCACTCTTGGGATCCAGAGGCCTTTTGTAGAGGAGGTGGAGATATCCAGAGTCGTGATTTCGTCCATTCTGTTCTCTGGCTTCTTCCACACCAGCAAATCCCTCCAGCAACGTTGTCTTCAGTGTACTTATGTCTCCATGGAGGGACTAGAAAGAAGATCAGGATGTATGGACACAGAAGCTGACTTTTCAAACAATAAAACCTCTCTGTGTAGATTAAGAAAGGAGTTTCTTAAATATTTAACCTGATGAATCCTCTGAGGAGAGAAAGAAGTCATTCCTTGGAAAGAAAGGTGCTCAGGCATTTATTAAAAATGTTTTTTGTGTGTGATTAGGAAAAAAAAAAATCACAGAAGTGATTTTGGACACTTAAGTAAGACCAGGCCTCAAAGTACCCATAACCCCATTCCCTGAAGACAATCATTGCTCACGCCTGAGACCTTTCTTTTCCTAAGCATATTATTTAGGTCCAGAATAGTCCAAAATGGGATCCTGGCATATCAGTGCTAAATAGGGCTTTTCAGAAAATGCTTTTACTGGGGCTGGGAAGATGGCTTAGTGGTAGAATGTGTGCCTAGCATGCATGAAGCCCTGGGTTCTATTCCATAGTACCACATAAACAGAAAAAGCTGGAAGTGGAGCTGTGGCTCAAATGGTAGAGTGCTGCTAGCCTTGACAAAAGCAGCTCAGGGACAGTGTCCAGGCCCTGAGTTCAGGCCCCAGGACTGCCAAAAAAAAAATAGTTTTTACCTTTCTAAACCTCCTTCTAATGGCATGAAAAATGAGGAGGGAAAAGTATACTGTATACAACAAAGATGTGAGGATAATCCAGGTAAAAGCGTGGTAAGTACTAAGTAGAAACAGCAGTTACAGTAAATGAATACTTGATATTTTTATATTGCATATGCTTTTTTAAAAAATCTGACACTACGGCCGGGTGCTGGTGGCTCACGCCTGTAATCCTAGCTATCAGGAGGCAGAGATCTGAGGATCGCGGTTCAAAGCCAGCCTGGGCAGGAAACTCCGTGAAACTCTTTTTTTTTTTTTTTTTTTTTAGTTCCAGTCGTGGGGCCTGAACTCTGGGCCTGGGCGCTTCCCTCAGCTCTTCAGCTCAAGGCTAGCACTCTACCACTTGAGTCACAGTGCCACTTCCGGCTTTTTTCTTTTTGCTTATGTGGTGCTGAGGAATTGAACCCAGGGCCTCATGCATGCAAGGCAAGCACTTTACCACTGAGCCACCTTTCCAGCCCCAACTCCGTGAAACTCTTATCTGCAATAAACCACCAGAAAACCGGAAGTGGCGCTATGGCTCAAGTGATAGAGTGCTCGCCTTGAGCTGAAGAGCTGAGGGACAGTGCCCAGGCCTAGAGTTCAAGCCCCACGACCAACAAAAAAAAAAAAAAAAATCTGACACTATGAAACAAAATTTCAAAAATACCTAAAGGGCCAATTCAATTATTCATGCCTATAATTCTACTTGATTGAGAGGTTGAGATCTGGAAGATCATAGTTCAAAGCTAGTCTGGGGAGAAAAGTTCATGAGACTCCATCTTCAATTAATCAACCAGCAAAAACCAGATGTAGAGGCCTGGCTCAAATGGTAACATACCAACTTGTGAGCAAATAAGCCAGCTAAGAGCATGAGGTTCCAAGTTCAAATCCCAGTATAGCGCCCCCCCCCCAAAGTTACATTAAATGAAAGATGGTAAACTTTTATGGAATCCTAAATATATTAAAGGAGTGGAGATCATTATTCCACTTCACACATGAGGAAACTGAAACAGAGCAGTAGGCTGACTCCTAGAGGAGTATCTGATTTGTCATTAACCCTGACGGAACAGCTGAATCCAGGCACTCTCCGGTCAACTACCCAGCACACAACCACAGCAGCACGGGCCACAGGAAGACCAACAGCCTTGGAATAACAGGGGAACAATTCTATTTTTTTGGTCGGTTGTGGGGCTTGAACTCTGGACCTGGGCACTGTCCCTCAGCTCTTCAGCTCAAGGCTAGCGCTCTACCACTTGAGCCACAGCACCACTTCCAGTTTTCTGTGGTTTATTGGAGAGAAGAGTCTCACAGACATTCCTGCCTGGGCTGGCTTTGAACTGTGATCTTCAGATCTCAGCCTCCTTAGTAGTTAGGACAGGCGTGAGCCACCGGCGCCTGGCTGGAGAACAATTCTAAAAGTACAGTTCTACCTAGGACCAAAGACCCACAAAGACAAACCTCTGTGGTTTCCTTAATCTCCAGCAGGAAGGTGTGCAGGTCATCTGACTCTGTCCGCAGCAGCTTCATCTCCTCCACAGTGCCCACCTGGAAACAGGCTTTGGAAGTCCGGGCCTTCAACTCTTCTAGCTCCTTCTGGAAGTGGGCGATCTGCAGGAGCCAATAAAGAAATGACTCTATTTGAGTGCACAACTCCTGGAGCAGGCCAGGTCCCAGTGTGGAATCCGTGACCCATGGATGGCGGCACTCAGGGCCAGTCTAGACATCCTCAGAAACAATTTACCTCCTCTCCGATTCCAGCCATCACAGGATCTGACTCTTTCCACTGATGTCCTTGCTTTTCTGTGACAGGAGGCTGAAGGGACTTCACCTGAAATGGAAGGTAAGTGTTTACAACTCGATCCTGTACCACAAGTTATGGCTAGAGGCCATCACATGAGTATCTATCACCATGAGTAGTGTTCTCATAAGAGCCCTTCATTTGTCACTCAGGCTGCGTTTACCAGGTCTGCTGTGCATAAAATATTCTACAGTGAAGAAAGGTACAGGACAGACATGTCCCAGTGCTCAGGGATGTACTGACACATCACATTAAACAAAACAGCCAGCCATTAAGACATGTTGGACGGACACTGGTAGCTCACACCTGTAATCCTAGCTACTCAGAAGGCTAAGATCTGAGGATCACAATTTGAAGCCAGCCTGTAGAAAAGCTTGTGAGACTTATCTCCAACTAACTACCAAAATAGCTGGAAGTAGAACTGTGGCTTAAGGAGTAGAGCACCAGCCTTGAGCAAAAAAGCTCAGGGACAGCACCCAGGACCTGAGTTTAATTCCCAGAACGGGCACCAAAAACACACAAACAAAAAAACATGCCAGGTGCTGGGAATGTGGCTTAGTGGTAGATTGCCTGCCTAGCATGCGCGATGCCTTGGGTTTGATTCCTCAGTAGCTTGAGCAAAAGAAGCTCAGGGACGGTACCCCACCCCTGAGTTCAAGCTTCAAGACTGGCCCAAAAAAACCCTAAAAAAAAACAAACAAACATGCTACAGGATTCTACTTGATAGAAGGTACAAGCAGGCTAACCTAAAGCATGCTGTTAGATATCAGGATGGCGGGTGACTTTGGAGAAAGCAGAGGAGGAATTGTGGGTGCTGATCATTCTTTTTTTTTTGTCGGTTGTGGGGCTTGAATTCTGGGCTTGGGTACCATCCCTGCGCTCTTCAGCTCAAGGCAAGTGCTCTACCACTAGTGGTTTACTGGAGATAAGAGTCTCATGGACTTTCCTGCCTGGGCTGACTTTGAATCGTGATCCTTAGATCTTAGCCTCCTGAGTAAGTAGGATTACAAGTGTGAGCCACTGGCACCCGGCTACATTGCTGATCATTCTGTTCCTCAGTGGTAGCCGCAAGCTTTGTTCCGTTGGTGACAAGCCACTGAGGTGTATATATATTACACGCATGCTTTCTATGGAAACCATATGTTGATGAAAATAGGAAACAGATGGCTTGGTTGTATGCGGACATTACAAATAGTCAAGTCACAGATGCTGGTATTTTCTGCCACACAGTCCTAACCATCAGTTCCAAGGTCTGAATTCTAACACTTTATTAACACAGGTGCTTGAGGCAGTCAATCAATGTTAGACAAGAGCATTTTCCGCAAGGAAAGCGTACCTGGGGAGAGCTTGCCTTGGCCACTGGAGGGGTAATCCTAGGAGATTTCTGAACCATTGAGGGTACTGGACTTGGGCTGCTTTGAGCTGATCGCCCTGCTGGTAGAAGTCAGTTACACCAAACAGGATTTATTCCCATCATTTCATCACAAACTCCCTTCCCAAACCTAAGAACATAGGTGATATACACTTCCCATTCTCCATGACAGCCTTTATTGAAGAGTGACAATTAGGTGTAGTGCTGCATGCCTTTAATCAGACAGAGCACTGAAGAAGAAAAAGAAGAACTGAGAATTTTAGGCCAGTCAGGCTACACGGTTTGAGTTCTAGGCCAGACTGGGATATATAGCAAGACTTTCCCTCAAAATCCACAACACATCTATAATCTTAGCTACTCAGGAGGCTGAGATCTGAGGACTGTGGTTTGAAGTCAGCCTGGGCAGGAAAGTCCATGAGACTCTCATCTCCCAATAAACTACTCAGAAAAGTCCTGAAGTGGTGCTGTGGCTCAAGTGGTAGAACATTAACCTTGAGCAGGAGAAGCTGAGGGACAATGCCTAGGCCCTGAGTTCAAGCTCCAGGACTGAGAACTAAAGCCTATGGCTTCAAGTCATACCTGATGGTGAGGGAGAGACTGAGGACTTCAAAGGCAAGGAGCTGGATGATGCTGGGAGAGGCGTAGGGTGGCTGAGCAGACTGGAAGCGGCTGGCTTGGCGGCAGAAGAGAATGGCAGCACGGAGGGTGCACTAGAGGAGCTATGAACAGGAGCATTGGAGGCCACAGCGGTGAACCTGAAAACCACAGTGCCAACTGTGTCACAATAGCCTATTAGAAAATTCTTCCACACTGGTCATGAACACAAACGTTTCAGTTGCTATTCACATATAGAAGGTTAGAATTGCAAGGAAACATTTGTCATCTGCTCGCTTAGCAATGACCTTTCAACTAAAGCTCCAAAGAAGTACTTGATGTGCGAGCAAAACTAATGCTATGAAGCAAGAACTTCCTAGCCCATCAAGCTAAGGGAGAAAGGGCGTGAGGGGATCATTAGAACTAGTTTTGGGGTGATCACTTCCTCTAGGGGGTGAAAATGAAAGAGATCATCATGTTTAGGATGCTTCCAGTCTAATGAGAATACAAAATCAATTCTCCCTACTGAGAACAAGCCTGAGTATGAGCCAGGAGCTAGGTTCACCCTTGTACTCCTGGCTCCTCAGGAACCTAAGACTTGGAGGATCATGGTTTAAGGCAACCCCAGGCAGAGTAAGTTTGCTAGACTCTGCCTCCAAAAAAAAAAAAAAGCTAGCAGCATGACTCAAATGGTACAGTGCCAGCCTAGCAAGTGTGGGGCCCCAAGTTCAAACCTCAGTGTTGCAAAAACAAAGCAAGGCAACTCTCCAGCATTCACTGATTGGCCAAAGAAATTACAATGTAGCCCACAGAATGGAACACTAGGTAGTGGCTGTGTACTGACTCAATATTAACAAGAAAGGCAAGGCCACACCCTGTAACAAGAGTATAGTGCTGGGAGTGTGACTCCAGCACCAGAGCACCTGTCTAGCAAGTGTGAGGTCGAAATTCAAGCCACAGTGATGTCAAAAACAAAGCATACAAAGACAGTACAAAAGGCTGGTGGTATTGGGAAGGTCTGTAAGACATAAAGGACTTTCTCCCCCAAGAAGTTCAGGTAGTGAGAAGACTGGAGCAAACAGATAAAAAGGTAGCTAAATAAGATATGAGTGAGCTGTTCAGAACTAGATCCTGAGGAAATGAGACACCATGCTCAGAGTTTGCTTGAAAAGCAATGAGAAGCCACTGGGGACACATCACGAAAGCTGAGAGTGAAGGTAAACAGGAGGGGACAATGAGACCTACTTCCTTTCCAGGATGCACACAGCAGGCTGCTTACCACCTTAATAGTAACAATAAAATTATATGTAAGTTTCAAAAGGACCAGCTCCTACCTCTATACTTGAAAGGGCAAAACAAGTATTTAAATGTAAATCTCTAGTGGTCAAAAATACAAAATGCTGAGCCAGGTGCCCCGTGGTTCACGCCTATCATCCTAGCTACTCAGAAGGCTGAGATCTGAGGATCATGGTTCAATGCCAACCTGGACAGGAATGTCTGTGAGACTCTTATCTCCAATAAACCACTCAGAAAACCAGAAGTGGTGCTAAAGCTCAAGTGGTAGAGAGCTTGCCTTGAGCTGAAGAGCTGAGGGACAGCGCCCAGGCCCAGAGTTCAAGCCTCACAATCACAAAAACAAAACAAAAACTATCTAAGAGACCTTTCAGGACTCTATGTAGACAATACAAATGTTTACACTGGTCAAGTGTTAACCACTTCTTCAGGGGGAAAAAAAATCTATTCAGTCACCCCACTCATGGTGGGTGACATTTGCAGCAAGTACTCATCCTACAGAAAAATCAAAGCTTCGACATGACTTACTTTTCGCTCAGGTTGACCTTGACAGCAGAGGCTGAGGGTGAGAAAGAGGGCTTCATTCCAGAGTTGGGAGCAGGCGCATTTGACACTGGTGTGCTTTCCGAAGTGGGCTTAAAACCCGATGATCCGAAGGAGAAGGAGGCAGCCGATGGGGCCAGGGGTGAGGCTGCAGGGGCTGGGGCGAGGGGGGCCTTAGAAGGAGGAGCAAAGGAGAAGGTGGGGGCACCAGGCCCTGGGGCCGCTTTGGAATTGTCAGAGCCGCTGAGATGTGGAGGGGGCTCCCCTGGGACAGAAGCAGATGACTTCAAGGATGAAGAGCCAAAGGAGAAGATGGCTGGGGGTCCCCCAACAGAGGACAAAGGGAAAGTGGCAATGGGAGCAGCAGGGGTCACAGGTGCAAGGGAGGAGGGGGCCGCCGCTGCGGAGGCATCCAGTTTCTGTGGGGCCTGGCAGGAGGTTGGGGTGGTGGGAGTACTTCCTGCAACAAGAACCAAGGAGAAGAGGAAGGAAAAGGTTAACACTGAGCCCGGCAGTCCATGTGGCAGACAGCACTCAAGAAGGGGTTTGTGATAGAAGAAATGGTCCAAAAAAGAAGGAACAGAGTTGATGCTGGATTTCCCACAGGGTAAGAGGTGGGAAACTCTGCAGGGTAAGGAAGTAGAGAACGACATCTGACTAGTAGGACTCATGAACGCTCAACCGAGTAATGCAGGAACACACTGCAGTTAGTGTGGCATTGCAACACACACACTGCTGTGCTGGCAGTTAGGGTCCCCCCCCCCCCCCGCTCACTCAGATCCCCACCTCCACACATTAGTTACAAGCAATGCCACCTGGGGACCAATGGTTCAAGCCTATAATCCTAGCTACTCAGGAGGTTGAAATCAGAGGACTGCAGTTCGAAGCTAATTTGGGCAGACAAATCTACCTCCAGCTCATCAGCAAAAAGCCAGAAGTGGAGGTGTGGCTCAAGTGGTAGAGTATCAGCTGTGGGCTTTCTCTAAAAGTAACAGTTGGAGAATGGCCCTGGAAGTGAAAGACGGCCAGGCTGTATATGCATGTGGGAGAAGGTGTCCTGGCTGGTGAGGGTGGCTTCACGTGCCCCTGGCACCTTACACGGTCATCACTGGAGACACACCTGGGCCACCTAGGGTGCCAGCCTGGGCAGGCAAAGGCACGTACCTGAGGACTTTGGCTGTCGCTCCCCTTCTAATGAGAGCCGCTCCGGGGTCCTGATTAGGGACCTAACCCCAGGATTTTGATTAATCATATAGAATGGACAGAGTACACCATCTGTTGAAAGTAACAGGAGAACTGGAGCAGGAGGAAGAGTCTTTTCATCATCTGTCAAAAAGGAAAACGAGGATGATTAGGGCAGCAAGTCGATTCAAGGGCTTGGAGTAACCACCTTCTCAATCTTGCTGTAACCAAGTACTGATGTGCAGTAGCAGCTTAGAGTAACACTCCCCGGGCAGCCACTGGGGAACTTGGGCAGAGAGACCAAGCTACAGTATCGAATGTATAGAATATGGCTCTTCGGCCATCTTCTAAAGTACACAGACATGTGCGTGTGTACGTAAACAGCACAGTGTCTGGCCTTGGTTTCATCACAAGTGTCTGCTCAAAGCAGCTTACAGTACACACCGGACCTCGCTGCAGGTGAGAGGAGCTGCACACACACCAGGCTTTCATGGGCACTGACTGCTACCATGGGAAAGCCTTGCTGCCCAGGCGCCATGCCACTTACTGATGGCGATTTCCACCTGGTTGGTATAATCGATGGCCACCCCCATAGGCAAGGAGTCATCACTCTTGTCTGTCACAGGCAGTTCGGCTCGACTAGAATCCTCCAGTAGCCAAGATTCCCAATTAATCTGGAAAATAAACATACATGTTTGGTTAAGAGCCTTGCACCGAAGCCTCCCCGGACCATTTAGATAGGAGAGAAGAAAAAGAACATCTCTCGGTTTTTATCATTACCATGGTGAGAAAGTGATAGGCAGTCAGTAAAAACCAGGCTCCAAATTACTTGGAGTGCATTAAGTGCATTTTCAATACCAAAGTTTATTGGGTTGTTTAACAAATCATAAGCTAAAAAGCATCTAATTTCTGACCAATTAAGATCTGACAGGATCTTCACAGGTTTCTCTTCCATAACTGAGGACCGTTTATTGTACACAGATGGTAAAACAGAACAAAGCAAAGCCTGAGCATCCAAGTGCACCGGGTTAGAGGTCGCAGATGGATCTGAAGAGAACCAAGGGCATTTGTTTTTGTGCAGGTCTTAGCCCTTAAACTCAGGGCCTGGATGCTCCCTATCGCTGATTTTTTTTCCGCAAGGCTGGTTCTCTACCACTTGAGCCACAGTTTCACTTCCAGCTTTTTTGGTGGCTAATAGGAGACGAGTGTCATGGACTTTCCTGCTGGATGGCTTCAGACCCTAATCCTCAGATCTCAGCCTCCTGAGTAGCTAGGATTATAAGTGTGAGCTACTACTGGTACCTGGCCAGAGAACTTTTTTTTTTTTTGTCAGTCATGGGGCTTGAACTCTGGGCCTGGGCGCTGTCGCTGTCTCTCAGCTCTTCAGCTCAAGGCTAGTGCTCTACCACTTGAGCTACAGAGCCACTTCCGGTTTTCTGGTGGTTTTATTGGAGATTAAGAGTTTCACGGACTTTCCTGCCCGGGCTGGTTTTGAACTGCGATCCTCAGATCTCAGCCTCCTGAGTAGCTAGGATTACAGGCGTGAGCCACCGGCGCCAAAGGGCTTTCTTAAAGATGCAGAAGGACTCCACTGACACACCACGTCTCTCCGTTGCAACAGCTGCACCATCAGGTCTAAGGCTCTGTGCTCACCCAGAAGCCCATGAATAAGGAGGAGGCCTTGTCTCAGACTCGGCCACACAGTCAAACCCTGCAAATCATGGTCAGAAAAGTGACAAAGGGGGGACTTACCTGATCACTCTGGCGAGCGAGGATACTAACTTCTGTGGAAGCTGCAGACGCTGCCAGCACTAAATCCCTTAGGAATACAACGAGAAGACAATTACAGTCAAGCCCATGTACAGCGCTGAGGCTCCAGGGTCCACAGTAATCCCCGAGAGGGCCAGGCTTCCTATCCGACTGAAGAAAGGAGAAGGTTCTACATGTACACCTGAGCTTTCTATTTCCTGAGGTAAAAGCCTGAGGAATCCACCCACTGCCCACCTGGGAGGCACATGACAGAATCAAGTCAGGTCCACAACAAACAGAATACCCAAAGCAGGGGAGGAAACTTAACCTGTGGTAGAGAGAAACCCCTAGAAGGCCCTTTAAATGTAAGTACTTTTCAGAGTCATCACTGGAGATACTGATAAAAGTGGATTTTTTGTGTGTCAGTACTGGAACTTGAAATCAGGGCCTAGGCACTGTCCCTTGGCTTTTTCGCTCAAGGCTAGCATTCTCTTCCATTTGAGCCACAGCTCCATTTCCAGCTTTTTGGTAGTTAAATGAAGATCAGAATCTCAGACTTTCCTACCTTTGAACCAAGATCCTCAGATCTTAGCTTCCTGAGTAGTTAGGACTATAGACATGAGCCAGAAGTGCCTGGCAAAACACTTAAATTTTTCTTTTTTCTTTTTTTTAGGAAAGTACATATTCTACGTAAGTCAAGACTGAGGAAACAGAAGCAGTCATCAGAAGATAGGAGACAGTGTCTGTTGAAAACACCAGGGCATCTCAGCCGTGCTCTCCTGGCGAGACCCAGCACGCAGGTGCAGGCCAAGGCCTCCAGCGAGCCTGCGCTCACCATTCTTCGATGTAGTGGAGGTAGTAATGGTGTTGTCGTTCAGTGCAGCTGCCGTAGCAGGGCTCCATGAAGTTGACAAATATCTCTGGGTGCTTCTCTTCCTTTTTCTATAAACAACACAGTGAGAAAAATAGCTCATGTGCAATTTTTCTTGAATCACAGATAGTTCACCTCAAAAGGTAAAATGGAGTTTTATGAGAAAATCTAATTAAGAATTGAGAAAACCTGTTTACGTTGTATGGAAATCTATGTGCAAATAACAGACCAGGTTTAATGGCAGCTTTGAGTAGCACAGGGCGAAGAGGCGTTAGCCACAGAGCACACCACATTCACACTCTGTTCTGTCATTTTCCGGCTACAGGACCAGCAGGGCAGATCCTCTCTGCTACCAAGCCTACAGAGTAGGTGCTCAATGCAAATTGAGGGAAGTCTCAGTATTCAATAAAGACCCCTAATATTACAATTTTAAATTCGACCTTATCAGGAACTCAACAGTTATTACAAGACATTCTACCTGACTGATCAAGACCAAAGAAGACACTGCTATATGTACTAACATCATGTTGGGTAGTCCCACAGGTGGCATAAACAGATACAACTTGCCTAAAAGAGACCACTGCAATGTCGACAAAAGCTTACTAAAAATTCATAGCCAGGCGTTGGTGGCTCACACATGTGATTCTAGCTACACAGAAAGCTGAAAGCAGAGGGTCATTATTCAAAGCTAGCAAAAAAGTCCATGACACTTTTGTTTCCAATTAACCACCAAAAAGCTAGAAGTGGAGCTATGGCTCAAGTAATACAGCAAAAAAGAAAAAAAGGTTCAGGAACAGTGCTCAAGCCTTGAGCTCAAACCCCAGAACTGGCATGCATACACACACGTGTGCTTACTCTTACACACACACACGTAGCCAGAAGTAGAGCTGTAGCTCAAATGGTAGAATGTCAGCCTTGAGTGAAAAAGCTAAGGGGTCAGTGCCCAGACCTTGAGTTCAAGCCCTAGTACTGGCAAAATAATAAAGAGAAAGATTCCAATTCACTAAGTATTTAAAATCAAGGTGGCAAAGCACAGCAACCAGTATATTTATTGACAAATTCTGTTCTAAAATATCAAGTAATTTCTAAATAGTAGGAGCCAAAGATTTTTTTTTTTTTTGGTCGGTCATGGGGCTTGAACTCAGGGCCTGGGTGCTATTCCTCAGCTCTTCAGCTCAAGGTGAACACTCTACCACTTGAGCCACAGCGCTACTTCTGGTTTACTAATTGGAGGTGAGAGTCATGGACTTTCCTGCTCCAGCTGGCTTTGAACCACGACCCTCAGATTTCAGTCTCCTGAGTAGCTAGAATAGAGGGCGTGAACCATTGGTGTCTAGCTGAGATTTTTTTTTTTTAAGATGGCTGGACTTTGAAAGCTAATTGTGCATCAGTTGTTTTTCAGATGCCATTGTGATTTAGTAATGTTTTTTAGATCTTGTTGCTATATCCTCTATCTTCAAAATGACTCACTCCCTCATTCCATCTGGTTCTCTGCTCAAGTGACGCCTCGGGAGTGGCCACAGTGACCACATCCACAAGTCTAGTCCCTCTTGTCCCACACTCTGCTCCTCACGCCCTGGACCAGCACCAAAGCCAACATTCATCAGCATGGGGCAGACTCAAATGCAAAGCCTTTTCCTCGGTCACCTCTGCGTGCTCAGTTTTAAAGCAACACCTAATATATTGTATACACTGGTTAGACATTTGGCAAATAAATGAAGTAAGTCTGTGGTGCTAGGGATTGGACACAGGGCGTTACACAAGACAAGCTCTCTACCACTTGAGGGCTATGCTTCCAGCCCAAATAAGTGTAAGAATTAAAAAAAAAAAAATCAAGGGGAGGGGGGAGGCTGGGAAGGGATGTGAAGGGTAAACAAAGGAGGAGGATGCAATGCTTGGTAAGAAATGTATGCATTATCCTGCCCATGTAATTGTAACCCCTCTGTACAGTATGTTCACAAATAAAATTAAATTTTAAAAAAATCAAGATACTCTCTTGCTTTTCTAAAATATTTTCATCATTTTAACTAATCTTCACAATTTAGGGGCTTGGGATATAGCTCAGAGTAGAGCACCTGCTGAGCATGCACAAGGCCCTGGGTTTCATCTCCAGTACCACAAAACAAACAAAAGAGGGCTGGGAAGGTGGCTCAGTGGTAGAGTGCTTGCCTTGCATTCATGAGGCCCTGGGTTCGATTCCTCAGCACCACATAAGCAAAAAGAAAAAAGCTAGAAGTGGCGCTGTGGCTCAAGTGGTAGAGCACTAGCCTTGAGCTGACAAGCTGAGGGACAGCACCCAGGCCCAGAGTTCAGGCCCCACAACAGGACCCCCCCCAAAGAAACAAACAAAAGAAATCTGTTTTACATATTTTTACATCTGAACTAGCTCTAAGTAGACACTGGGTCCCCTGGCCCGTGCGCAGCCCTGAGACCTTACATCAGAAGCTGCACTGTCACACACATGAGAAGGGCTCTGAAACTGAGGTCTAACTTTGGGAAGAGGCGATCCTGTCATCTGCTTACCGGAAGTAGAGCCATCACTACATCTGGACACGTTTCCAAGGTGCCATCCGCAGCAGCATATACGATTGTGAAGACATAGGTACCGATCCAGAGCACATCTAAAACTGGAAAGACCCCATCCCGTCTAATCAGTAATCAAATCACAGTCACACACCTGACATCGGAATAGCTGCCCTTTGCTCTGAAAGTTAACATGCAATGGGTAAACACTGTAAGGGTCCAGATTTTATCAACCAAATATTAATGCAGAGACAAACAATAAAGAGGCCCAGATTCATTCAAAGCTGCAGCTCGTTTCTGCTGGATTATAATCAGAGCAAGGAATAAAAGTCTCATAAAGTCAGGATCCATTTCAAGATCTTTTTTTTGGGGGGTTCGGTCATGGGGCCTGAACTCTGGGCCTGGGCGCTGTCCCTCAGCTCTTCAGCTCAAGGCTAGCACTCTACCACTTGAGCTACAGCGCCACTTCTAGCTTTTTTCTTATGTGGTGCTGAGGAATCGAACCCAGGGCCTTGAGCATGCAGGGCAAGCGCTCTACCACTGAGCCACCTTCCCAGCCCCCATTTCAAGATCTTGACTTACAGGGGACACTGACTTAACCAGCTGATGCGTAGTAGAATCATGCAACAGCATCATGAGGTAGGTGGACACCAGTACTCTCCGCACATACGGGGTACATCTCATGATCTGACTGTTTTTACTAGACACAGCATCACATGATAGGTCAGCCAATAAGGAAAACAGTGGTACATACCTCTGACAGGATGATCTGACTCATAAAATGGAGGACAAGGGATGACTTTTTTTTCTTGTAAAGTCTGAAAGAAATTAAAAAAAAAAATAAATGTAACAATCCCTAAACCAATGAAACTGTCAAATCTGAAACAGAGTATCCTAGGTGTAGTGGCACAGGCTTGTAATCCCTTCACTGAAGCTAAGGAAGGAGGATCACAAATTTGAGGGTAGCCTGGACTACATAGTAAGTTCAAGGCCAAACAGACCCTGTCTCAACAAAACCAAACAGGAATATTGTCTACTCCTAGGGTTCTATCCTGGAGAACACTTGCAGAAACATCTTCAGATGCAGATAATGGAGGCGTTCAATGCAGCAAAGTTAATGGTGCTGCAGAAGACCATCAATAATGAGATGGATTGTGGAGCCATCTATGCTATGAACTACTGCATAGCCAGCAAAGAGAATAAAGTGGCTCTAGATACAGTAAACTGAAAAAAGGCCTCAATAGAAAAAAAGTAAAAAGGGAAATAGCAAAACTAGAATGAAAACCAAAGCACTGTGTCTTTGTACTTGTATTCCATTACTCCAGAAGAGCTAAGTTTGAGGCCAGCCTAGGCAAAAGTTAGCTAGACTCCCTCTCATCCCAATCAATAAACTGGTATGGTGTTCTACATGCCTGATCCCAGCTACATGAGACACATATAGGAGGGTAAAGTCCAGGATTGTTCAGACGAAAAAATAGAAGACTCTCTTGGGAAGTTAACTCCACCAAAAGGGTTGGAGGTATGCTCAATGGCAGACACTCCCCCTAACAAGGGCAAGACCTTGAGTTCAAAACGTAGTACTGCCAAAAAACAAAGTAAAACCTTTTTAGATGCTAATGTCTCCTTTTTTTTTGCTGGTCTTAGGGCTTGAACTCTGGGCCTGGGTACTGTCACTCAAGTGGTAAAGAGTATGTATAGTTCTGAGTTCAAACCACAGTACTGGCGGAGGGGAGAGGAAAATAACAGCAAAGACGCTCTGAAACCAGAAGAGAAGTTCTGAAGTCTCAGGAGCGGACTTACAGGAAGGTACTGCACCACAGTTCCGTTCTGCTTTCCCACTGCCAGCTGCTTTCCCTTGGGGCTCCAGCACACTGGAGAAGAGGAGAAGGCCATTGTTGAGACAGAAGAAAATAAAACGGAGCAAGGCAGTGAACCCAAGCGCTTTACAGCTTCCCAGTCATCATTTCCCATTCCTCTGTCAGGACACAGGACTGACGATCAGCTCATCAGCAAAGGGAGCAGAGAAAAAACATTTTAATGACCAATTTACTATGCCTTGTCACTGGGTCACTGAATGGAAGCTACAAAGGCTTTTTCAGCAGAGTGCGGAGCATAAACCCCTCATCTTTAGATGACATGAGGAGAATGGAGAATGTCTGGAAATGTCTAGAAATAACTGTTGGTGGTTCTATTTCTTCCTAATGCTTTTCCCATGAAGGTAAAAAAATGACTTTCACCTCAGATTCAGAAACAATTACTCTCAGAAACACAACTCTAAATGAGGGGGTGCTAACAGCTTTTTCACTATAAAGTATTTCCTTCTCTAGATAACTCGAGCACATTCAAATTAATTCATGTGTGGTATTTGGCTTCAAGGACATTAACTATGGAAATAAAGAATCCTCCCCCTTCTATGCCAAAAACTCCCCACCAAAACCATTCCCTTTACTTCCAGAAGTTAATTTTCAGGTAGATCACATAACCGCATGTTATGGTGTGGATGTGGTCATTACCTACCCGACGTAACTGCCACTGAGGGAGGGAGAGTGGCGCACACTTTCACCGCATCTGTGACTTGCAGGACAGCAATGCTGCCATCAGCCACACAAACGGCCACCATGGAGGGGACCGTAGGGTTCCATTTCATATCAATCACCATGCCGCCAGCATCCTTCTGGAGCTTGTGGTAGGCAAATGGGCGTTTTTGCTGTTTTGCCTTTTAAAACAAATGCACAAAAGCAAAATACATTGACCAATTACTAGACATACAGAGGCACTTAATATTCAAAGTGAACTAGTGAATCTACAAGTTTTCTTAAATCACAGCAATCTATTACAGATAATTTCAACAAAACTGGAAAATGGCAATCCATTGCTCAGAGGAACTTCTGGCTGCCAAATGCACCAATGAGGACACTCGGCAACTAGTAGATACAACACTAAAATCAAGGCTCTGCTTCCTGAACAGTAGCTCGCAAGGGAAAATAACTGTACCTACTAAGTGAGGCTACGGTAGGCATGGGAAAGGATAAGGCACACGAACACTTAGTCCAGAGCACAGTCAGTATTCACACCATTGGCACCATTCTTAAACTCCATAAAATGGAAGCACAGCAGCAGCAAGCCAAAGACCAAAACATAGGGCCTCTCACCTTGTCCGTTAACTCTAGGGCCTTTGGCAGGTCACCTAAGCCTGTCTGCGTGGTTGTCGTCCATGTAAATGAGTAATGACGCCACTTCAGGGAAGGCAGTAAATCACAGAGTTTACTGAAGTCCCTTCAATCTCAAAGGCCTATGATTCTACAGGAATCCTTGTGGTGGTGGTTATAGGCTTGAACTCAGGGCCTCGGCGTTGCCCCTGAGCCTCTTTGTACTCAAGGCTAGCATTCTACCACTTGACCCCAGCACCACTTCCAGGAAACCATTTTTCCACCCTTAGTTTTCAAGTCTACAGAATGACTCCGAGGGTCAACTTGAGAAACTTGCAAATTTAACTCACAGGAAGAAATCTCCTCGGGCTCTCATGCTGGTAATTCAGGCTGCCAGTTCTTACCTCATTTGAGAATGTGCGAACATCAAAAAAGGCGATAATGGAGCCATATTCACTGGACATCATGCACACAGACAGCGTAAGGTTATCACAGCTCAGGGCCAGGTGATGGATTGGGAATTTCATAGGAACCAGCAAGCTTTGGACTTTATCAACTTTTATGAAAGAATTAAAAAAAAAAAGACAAAGTATAGAGTCACAAGCCTTTTATGTAAATGAGAAATAACTTTTGCTTCTTGTAAAGATACCCGCAGATGCCCAGGCATCCAGATAAAATCACATCCCCCCCCCCCGTTTTTTTGCTGTTCCTGCAGCTTGAACTCTTGACCTAGGTGCTGTCCCTGAGCTGCTATTTACTTGAGGCTAGTGCTCTACCACTTGAGCCATAGCTCCCTTTTTTTTCTGGTAGTTTACTGGAGATAATCTCACTGACTTTCCTGCCTGGGCTGGTTTCAAACTGCAATCCTCAGATCTCAGTCTCCTGAATAGCTAGGATTACAGGTATGAGCCACTGGCACCTGGTAAATATTATATATATTTGTCAGTCGTGGGGCTTGAACTCTGGGCCTGGGCGCTGTCCCTGCACTCTTCAGCTCAAGGCAAGTGCTCTACCACTTGAGCCACAGTGCCACTTCCAGTTTTCTGGTGGTTAATTAGAGGTATGAGTCTCACAGTCTGTCCTTGCCTGGCTGGCTTTGAACCATGATCCTCAGATCTCAGCCTCTTGAGTAGCCAGGATCACAGCCTGGCTAAATCTTAGTCTGACACTGAATGTCTCAGGCACTCTTCCTCATACAAAATGGGGGCACCTGTGACTGTTGACTTTTTTGAAAATGTTTTTGCAACAATGCTACGAATAGTACACATTCCTATTTGCTTGGAAGGTTCTGCTATGCCAACTAAAAAGATTAACAAAAGGTTTCTCCCACAGAGCCAGAGCTCAAGCTCCAATGAGCAAAATGGAAGTACCACATAGTGGTTCATTTTTTTCCTCTGAGCTCAGACGAGCAGAGAAAACTAGGAAAGCTTCTGGCATCCTACCAGGCCCTTTGTCACCTTGGAGCTCGCAGGACTCAGGAAGAGCCATTTGATGCCACCATGTCCCTATTTCAGATATGTGACATAAATCGAGGAACTTACCTATTTTATTGGGATCATCTCCAGGTTTGTTTTGAATAAGAAGGTTTCTAGTAGGAAAAACTTGCAAACCACGGGCTCCTCCAGCAAAGAGCAGACCATACTTGTTAGACATGGCAAGCAGGTTTGAGCGCTCCTTGGGTAACTCTTCTGGAGTGTCGAAGATTCTCACCTTCCTCAATGCTCTAAACTGAAAATCCTGTTTTGGAGATCAAAACAAAATCAATTTGGGGACAGAGGAAACTAACTCATGTCTAATGTATTCCATGGACTCAATTTCAGTGTAATGAAAATAAGCTTCTTATCCCAGGCAACTGAGCATCTCCACTCTTTAGACTTCCTGTGCTCTGACAACACCTGGCATAATGTTTATTAGTACCTTTTAAATGAAATAATGATGAAAAAAACTCCAGGAAGCCTTCCTGGACTAATCCCGCTTCTTTTCCTTTCTGGAATTCCCAGTTGTATTTCTTTCTTTCTTTTTTTTTTTGTTGGTCGTGGGTCTTGGGGTTGGGCACTATCCCTCAGCTCTTCAGCTCAAGGCAAGCGCTCTTCCAGTCTTCTAGTGGTTTATTGGAAATAAGAGTCTCACAGACTTTCCTGCCCAGGCTGGCTTTGAACTGTGATCCTCAGATCTCAGCCTCCTGAGAAGCTAGGATTACAGGCGTGACCCACCGGTGCCCGGCCCCAGTTGTATTTCTTATCTGAATCACCAAACTTACAATCATGTCCTTGTCCATGGTATTACATTGCCTCATGACCTGGTGTAGGTCTACACGAATTATTGTTATATTCTGAAAGCATCACTGGAATTTCCAGTGCAGTCCTTAGCAAACACAGAAATCCCAAGATCTGGCTTCCTTGTATCAAACGTAACAAAATCATATCTTAGAAGAGGATATGGCCAATCTCTCAGTGTTGAAAACTCAAGTACAAAACCCTTACCACAGGCTACAAGGCCAGGTGTGGGTTTGCCCCATGAATTCGGTGCTCACAATGCTCCAGTTCGCACAAGCTGGCCACTGTCTCTGCCACCTTACATTACTGACTTTCAGTTTCCATTTCCTACATTTTCAAGTTCCTTAGCACCTTGGAGCTTTCAAATCTAACTGAACTGAATATTCAATCTTCCTTGGCCTCCTACCAATGCCTACTCACACTGGCTTCTACAAATTTATCTACACGCTTTCAAGAACAATTCTGAGTACTGACCCTTCATTAAAACAAACAAACAAAAAATCTTAAGTTTACCCATCACTTGACTGAGCCATACTATATAGCATTATTTTTCTTCAACTTTTTTTTTTTTTTTTTTTGGTTCGTCATGGGGCCTGAACTCTGGGCCTGGATGCTGTCCCTCAGCTCTTCAGCTCAAGGCTATCTCTCTACCACTTGAGCCACAGTGCCACTTCCGGTTTTTTCTGATTACATGGTGCTGAGGAATTGAACCCAGGGTCTTGTGCATGCAAGGCAAGCACTCTACCACTGAGCCACCTTCCCAGCTCCTTCTTCAAATCTTTTTTTCTGGTTGTTGTTGCTGGTCATGGGGCTTGAACTCTGGGCCTGGGCGCTGTCCCTCAGTTCTTCAGCTCAAGGCTAGTGTCCTACTGCTTGAGCCACAGTGCCACTTCTGGCTTTTTTTTGCTTATGTGGTGCTGAGGAATCGAACCCAGGGCCTCATGCATACGAGGCAAGCACTCTACCACTGAGCCAACTTCCAAGCCCAACTCTGTATTTGTTTTGTTTGGGTTTTTAGCAGTACCTGAATTTGAAGGGCCTTTACTTACCTGGCAGGTGCTCTATCACTTGAGCCATGCCAGCCCTTTGTGCTTTCCTCACTTTTCAAGTAGGGTCTTACCTTCCATGTCCAGACCTCCTATGTGTGATCCTCCTATTCACACACACACATCCCAAGAAGCTGGGATGACAGGTGCATGCCACCACTCCCAGCTTTTTCATTGGGGGTGAAGGGGAGCAAGTCTTACTTTTTGCTCAGGCTGGCCACAAACCATAATCTTCTCAATCTCTGTCTCCCAAGTAGCTAGGATTACAAGCTTGAGCCACCTCACCTAACAATCTATGTTTACTCTACATCTGTTAAAGCTCAAGTGAAATATTCTTAATCCCAGCTGATTATGATGGGAACAACTCACTCAACTTTCTAGGTAAGACCATTACCATGGTTTCCTCAGAGACTCAAATTTTTGTCTTTTTGAGATTCTCTTTTATGTTGTTCCAAGACCAGGACTCAAACTCAGTACTTGATGTTTTGTTCATTGGCTGGCACTTTGCCAACTGAGCTATTTCTCCATCTCCCTTTTTGAAATTACCACCTTCAGTTTGTGGTTCCCTAGAATATCTGAGGAATATGAGACATCCCACCAACAGTATAGCCCAAAAGGGAAGAGATAAACGCTGTTAAATATGGTACCAATCACTATCCCCACGTGCATTTTGCAATCTGTTGCTCCTATAAATGCCTAAAGTGTTGGTGAAACTTGCTTTTAGCTGTTTTCTTAAAATAGCTCATTCTCTATTAATTAAACTGAGAGACTTATTAATAGATAGGAAGAGAAGGGGTAGGGGGGAAAAAAGGGGGAAAAAAAGGGTGAGCTAGGCACCAGTGGCTCATGCCTATAATTCTAGCTACTCAGGAGGCTAAGATCTGAGCATCTTGGTTTAACACCAGCCCTGGCAGACAAATCCATGAAAGACTTATCTACAATCAACTGGCAAAAAATGGACGTGTAGATCAAGCAGTAGAGTTCCAGCCTTGAACAGGTAAAGCTAAACAAGCCCACAAGAGACTGAATTCAAGTCCCTAAATTGGCACAGAAAAAAAAATAACTTTTGTAATATATTGCAAGTATATATGAAAATAACATAAACTCAGCTGTGTGTGGGTACTGGCTGGAGAGGGTTAGGCTAATAAGGATGGAGGTTGGATATGGGTTAAATAGATTATTTGCATCTATGAAAACATAACAATGAAACCTACTAAATTATGTGAGAAAGTGGACAGAGTGTCAGAGGTGGTCGGACTGACTGGAGCATGTGGAAATCTAACAATGAAATTGTTATATATGTTATGACAAGGTTACAAGTGAACATACATAACGATCACGGGAACATCCTTGGGAACACTTGATCCTCCTGTTAGTCCCCTGACTTCAGGCTGACTTCCGGTGGCCAACTCGTCCAAATAACGGATTTTGCAGGGTACTTTAGGCAAGTCTGGACTACCTTCCAGCAGCAAGCACTGCAGTAAGCTTTAGTAAGAGGAGTCTTGGGCTGGGAAGGTGGCTCAGTGGTAGAATGCTTGCCTAGCATGCATGAAGCCTTGAGTTCGATTCCTCAGTACCACATACCCAGAAAAGGGCAGAAGTGGTGCTGTGATTCAAGTGGTAGAGTGCTAGCCTTGAGCACAGAGAGGCTGAGGGACAGTGTCCAGGCCCCAGGATTGGCGAAGAAGGAGGAGGAGTCTTACATGAGCCTGGCTGTCAACCCCTTGTCAACTGTAACTTTGGATCAAGCAGTTTGCTGGAGATGACTTCCACAGCGCCTGGCTCGTAATAAACGCTCAATAAGGATCAGCTAACATCTCTAGGGCGACCGCCACCCCAGAGGGGTCAGGATAACTCCGGGGCGTGTCCAAGGCCCCCTGGGGCAGGTAGGCGGCATTTGCCCGCGGCAGGACCTGCTGGAGGCTCGCGGCGCGCTCCGCGCTCCGGGGAAACCGTCCAAGTGGGAGGCGGGGCCTCAACCCCAGGACCCAGGAAGGGAGGGAGGCCCCGGTCAATCGCTCACCTTCATCTCCCGCTCAGGGATCATGGCGTCCATTTCGTCTCCCATCGTGCCGTCCTCAGCTTGTCCAAGCGGCCGCCGCGACCACCTGCGGCCTTCTTCACCCAGCCTGGGCCGCTCGGAAGCCAACCTCCTTTTTCCAGCGCCGGCGGCGCGCGACGTACGCGCACTTCCGGCACCAGTTGATGACGTCAAGAGGCCCCGTCAGTAGTGAGGCCCGGGAAAGCTTCGGGGGCCCTCCGAAGTCGCGGGCGCGCCAGGCCGCCAGCCCCAGTGAGCGGGCTCGGAGGGTTGTGGGCGTGGCCACGGCAGCGCGCCTGCGCACTGGAGCCACGCGTAGTTTCTTTTCAAACAGTGCGCGGCTTAGCTCAGATTCATTCATTCATTGAGGGGCGCCGGCCTGGGCGCTCTGGGCTGGTTTTTCCTTCTGGCTGTTTTGAGTTGTTTATTAGAGATAAGACTCTTGGAGTTTCCTACCCCGGCTGGCTTCGAACCATGATCCTCAGGTCTCAGCCTCCTAGGGAGTTAGGATTACAGGCGTGAGCCACCGGCGCCGGTGCTGCTTTCAGCTTTTGGCTGGTTAATTGGATGTAAAAATCTCACCGACTAAGGCCTGGCTACTCAAGGGGTTGAGATCTGAGGATCACGGTTCAAAGCCAGCCCAGACAGGAAATCTGTGAGACTCTTATCTCCAAGAAACTACCAGAAAATAGGAAGTGGCGCTGTAGTTCAAGTGGTAGAGTGCTCGCCTTGAGCAAAAGAGCTCAGGGACAGCGCCCAGGCCCTGAGTTCAAGTACCACCACTGGTCCCCTTGCCCCCTCCCCCCAAAAAAAGTTTCAACTTTACTGCTTGGGTTGGTTTTGAACCTAGGTCGTCAATTCTCAGCCTCCTGAGCCCCTAGGATTACAGATGTGAACCACCAGTGCCTGGTTCATAGCCTTTTTTTTTTTTTTGGTCAGTGGTAGGGCTTGAACTCTGGGCTTGGGCGCTGTCCCTGAGCTCTTCAGCTCAAGGCGAGCGCTCTACTGCTTGAGCCACAGCACCACTTCCGGTTTTTCGAGTGGTTTATTGGAGATAAAAGTCTCATGGACTTTCCTGCCTGGGCTGGCATTGAACTGCGATCCTCAGATCTCAGCCTCCTGAGTAGCTAGGATGACAGGCGTGAGCCACCAGCGCCCGGCTTTTCATAGCCTTTTTGACTCAGTATTATTGCTAACTTCCAACTCTGAGAATTTAAAAATCCATCCAAGGGACTTCTTTCAAGAGGGGTTCAAGTTTTTTTTGGGGGGGGGTAGTAGGGAAGTAAAGGAAGTAAAGAACCGTCTAAGGATAAAAGCCAAGGCCAATTTTCCCTCCCTTCAAGGTTGCCATTTCCTGGGCAAGATCCATATCTACTTCTCACCAGTGGATTTATGCTGAATGCTGTGCAAAAACACTTTAGATGTGTTAGCTCATTTAACCTTCAAGACTGGTCACCTGGGGATTTATTAACATTTAATTGGTGGTATAAAGGAAACCTCAGAGAAGCAAATAAAATTCTCCAGTGGTTTTCAGCCAAAAAGTGGAGGCAGGATCAGAAATCAGACCAAGTACCAATGCTTCACGCCTGTAAACCCTAGCTACTCAGGAAGCTGAGATTTGAGGATTCTGGTTGAAAGTCAGCAGGAGCAGACAAATCCCAGAGGCTTTTATTTCCAATTAATCACAAAAAGTTGGATGTAGAGGTGTGGCTCAAGTGGTTGAGTGTCACCCTTGGGTACAAAAGCTAAGGAAGTGTGCAAGGCCCCAAGTTCAACTCCTACATTAAAAAAAAATGAGACCATGTAGGTACACTAAGAATTTAGTCTCACACAGCAGAAACTCATGTAGCAGATGATAAATGCTCTAGGTTCCTGCCTTGGAACTCATGGGCCCACTCAAGGGAAACACATTTCTGCTATTTACTGTTTGGTTTTCTGCTGGCTGCTTATCTACTCCAGCCTGCCCCGGTGCAATACAGAATAAGAACAGCACCGAACCAGCCTCTGGGACGCCTGTAATGTGAGGCTGTCTTTGACCTGCACACACAGGACCCCTGCATTCAATCTGCTACTGTGGTAGCCAGCTCTTCTGAATTTGCCAAGGCCATAATAATCCCCAAGACACATCAAGGAAGACACTGATTGATTGGTAAGCTTCATCTGGTTTATTTCAATCTGTATCCATGACATCCTACCCCACATACATACACACACATACACACACAACTTCATTCAACTGAATTACTCTTTCCTTTTGTGTCTTAGGGACAAAGCCATACCTGGCAGTCCCTGTGTTGCAAGTTACAACAGTTACATTTGGTCTTTTTCGGAAACAATACAGTCCATGTCCCTAACACTGAACCCTTGGCCAAAGAAGAGTCCCAGAGCCAAAAGCCGCAGCTAGAAATAACATGCAGACCCCCTTCCAGGGGGTCTAGACCCTCTTCCCCTTTCCCCCCAAACTGTTAAGCTCTACATTTCAGTGATGGGGGCTTGTGCCCCCATCCCCTGCAACAGGCCTTTCCCAGAGCACACTGAAATAAGCCTGGCTGGTGCGGTCTCCTTAGTGAAGCAGACACAGCTCATATGATCCTCAGAAGTCCCAGCCCATCCAGAGAGGGGCGGCGGGGCTGGAACAGACAATGGCTAATCTGGTATCCGAGGAAAAGACAGACAAGCTGGTGGAAGCAGGGAGGTTTTGATGTTCACAGGAAGGAATGTTTTTCCTGGGTTTAAACTGCAACTAGATCTGTGCATTTGAAGCAGCTCCTAAGGCTGAAGGTCAGCCAGTCACAGCCAAACAATCTCACTCCTGAACTGGTTGAGACCAGAGGATTAACTTGAGCCTCACACCCTGCCCACTTCATCCCCGCAAGCAGCTGTGGGACAGCACACTGTGCCTTTGATGACTAAGACTCTCAGGAGCTTCCAGTCCCCAGTCCTGTCCAACTTAAGGTTCTGAAAATACAGCCTGAAGATTCCTGCCCAGTGCTGGGCCAAGCCAGAACTCCCAGTACTGTAGAGCCATCACCCCCTACCCAACAATGCATTTGTCCGGGGAATCTGACCTGTGCCACTAGACTTGAATCCCATGAATCTGTCTGGCTTATGGTAGGCACTTAATACATTTCAATGAGTGAGCACCTCTGAGTCCTGAGTCCACATCAGGGTAAAGGACTCTTGAGGTTCCTGCTCAGCCCAGATGTGGGCAAGTTGGACACCTTCCCGTATGAGCTCTGAGAAGCTGGTCTCCATCAAGGCTTTCGCTTCAGAAGCTACAGAGAAGGCACATTACAGAGGCACAGGCCTAACGCTGTCTCAGGAGCCCTGGGAAAGTGAGTCCGTGCCGAGGACCTTCAGAGTACAGGATCCCTTCCCGGGAGACTGCCCCTCCTGTTCTCACCACTGATTTAATTAAGGCAAGGGAGAGGTGAGGTGACCACGCGGCTCCAGGCCTGGGTCTTCCATCTCCACATTAACCACCTGACCCTGGAAGGCCCTGCCTGGATCCCTCCAGACCAACACAGCGGAAACAGAAAGCCTGGCCTAGCCAACCTCCAGCGCAGAGCTCCTAAATCCTGTGAGGCTGGAAGAAAGGATACAGATGACCCCATCCAACCTCTAAGTCAAGCTTTTGAGCAACAGGGGAAAGGAGAGATGAGAAAACACCGTGGACACATCAGAGTCAGGACAAAGTGGGAGGACTTAAAGCTTGTAAGAGGTTCTCAATAAATATCTGTGGACTGTGAGGATGAATGAGTAAATGCATGGAAGGTAGGAGTAGGGTAGGAAGGCAAATAGAAGAAGCAGACTGCGATCAGAAAGGCAGCCTCCTGCTCAGGGCCCAGCTGCCCCAAGGAGCCCATCGTGCCAAGAACATGGAATTCATTCTCTCATCCTAGTCCCGCCTCTGCCTCAGAGGCCCTTCAGGGTCCTGGCAAGTGACAGCAGCTACACGGTTCCCCTGAGCTGCCTTTAAAGGTGTGACCACAAGGCCACAGAGTCCCTTGTTAAAGGGCTCCAGTGTTCAACCACCTTTCCTCCCCCTCCTTCTGTCATGTCCCTGAGCCTGAGCAGAGGCGAAGCACAACGGGGCATCTGTTGGGATGGTAGGGCACTGAGTGGCCACATCCTGGGTAGAGAGAAACACCGAAAGCCTGGAACTGTCCAAGGACACTTCAAGGACACCCTGCAACCTTCCTACTCCAGTCTTCTGAGTGGGAACCGGGGTCCTCACCAAGGCCAAGCTGCAGCCTGAACTTGGCTTCAGAGGCCTTCTAGAAAGATGGACAGGACAGTCTCATAGCATGGGAATATACTTCCAGCCCCGCTACCCTGGTTGGTTTTTGGTTTGCTGTCAGTCCTTCTGCATAGGGAAAGGCGAGAGAAGAGGCAGGGAGAAGTGAGGAAGGGGTCCCAAGGCTGTGTCCCAGCCCAGACCCTTCCCCCCCTTTAAGGCAGATAAGTTGTGCTTTACAAAGAGTTGAATCAAACAAACACACAACAACCAAACAAGACCAATCAAGAAGGGCAGTGAGGAGCGAGGGGCAGGAATGAGAGCCGGGGCGGTGCCCACAGGTCCTCAAGGCAGGCTGGCAATGTCTCTCTCTGGCGGTGGCCCTACTGGCTTAGGGCTGTTCTCGTTGGCTTTTCCTTCGAACATCATGACTCTAGTGTGGAGATGGAGGAAAGAAAACAAATCGGGATTAAGACTCTTGCCCTCATTCAGAGAGATTGTCCCAGCCTTCTTGTTGACTTTGTCCTTGAGCGTATGGCCCAAGCCTGTTCCCACTGCTCCTCATTAGAGCCCAAGGGGGTGGAATGGGGAAGGAGCTGTGATCCCCATTTTATAGAAGAGAAAATGGAGGCACAGAGTGGCAAAGTGGCTCCAAGAAATACACACACAGTCCCGGGCAGAGACAGGGACGATGCTCCAGGCATTGACTTCCAGCCCTTGTGTCTTCTAGACACGCTGCCTGGAAAAGACTAAACAAGGCTGGGCCAGGGCTCTGCTCAAGACCCCTACAAGACTTTAAAAACCTCCCCACAACACGGCAAGCCCAGTCTAAGGAGAAGAAAATAAAGGTTCAAAATGGAGCCTGGAGTCGGGGGAGGATGACCCGAATTCAAATGCCAGCCCTGCTGCTTCCCAGTTCCCAGTTGGGTAACTCAAGCCAAACACAGCCTCTCTGATCCTCAGCATTTCTCTGTGTTCATGGGGATGCTACCAGCTCTTCCCAGGCCAAAATGTGGGCTCCTTGTGCGTCAATGAACCCCCTTTGTAAAATGAGACAGACATTGTCCACTTTTGTACCTAAAAACAAGTGAGTTTTTCTTTTTCATAAAAGCTAGACGTGTCCTTTTCAGCTGTGACAAATGACAAGTTTCACCAGGGCCTCTCTAAGGAGGAGTACCTAGGATGTGAGGTTCATCTATAAATGTTGCTCATCAGCTGGGCATTAAGCTGAAATCATCACAAGTTGTTGCATCTGGACAGTGCTTTGTGGAGAATATGTATGATCAACCTCATTTTACAGTGGAAGAAACAAGCTCAGTCAGGGGTGTGCACGCCTTGTAATCCTAACACCTGGGAAGCTGAGGCAGGAGGATATCAGCTTGAAGCCAGCCTGGGTTACAAAGTGAGACTGTCAGAAGGGAAGGGAGGAAGGGAGGAGGAGAGGAAGGGAGGAAGGGAGGAGGAGAGGAAGGGAGGAAGGAAGGAAGGAAGGAAGGGAGGAAGGAAGGAAGGAAGAAGGAAGGAGGAAGGGAGGGAGGGAAGGGAGGGAGGAAGGAAGAAAGAAGGAAGGAGGGAGAGAGGGAAGGAAGGGAAGGGAGGGAAGGAAGGGAAGGGAAGGAGGGAGAAAACTGGGATTTGGGGCTTGTAGAGTTGAGCTAACTTGCCCAGGATCATTTAGGTAGTAATAGTTTCAAGATTCAAACTCCTAAGAGTTGATTGTGTGTGTGTGTGTGTGTGTGTGAGAGAGAGAGAGAGAGAGAGAGAGAGAGAGAGGGAGGGAGGGAGGGAGGGAGAGTCAGTACTGGAGCTGAAACTCAAGGACTCGTGCTTGTTTGGCTCAAGGCTGGCACTCTACTACTTGAGCCACACCTCCACGTCCAGCTTTTTTGTTTTAGTGGTTCATTGGAGATAAGAGTCTCTTGGACTTTTTTCTGCTCCGTCTGGCTTTGAACCTCGACCCTCAGCCTCCTGAGTAAGATTGCAGGTGTGAGCCACCAGTGTCTGGCTCCAAGAGCTGATTTTCAACTCTATCTTCATGCTCACAAAACAACCCAATGGAGATAGCAGAGTTGTCTTGACAAACAAGGAAACAGGCCTAGAAGATGTGGACAGTGGATCTGTCACCATGCACCTCCGCCACATTGCTGCCACTTCCTGGCCACTGCTCTGCTAATTTCCTCGGCAAGGCTCCCGCCAGCACAATCCTTTGACAATTAAGGAGAGAGTTCAGAGAAATCAAACCTCACACAGCTAGTTCCAGGCAAAGAGCTGCCTGCTGGCCAGGGAATGCAGCAGGGGAATGCATGGGGCCTCTTTCCCCATAGAATGACAGCGCCCCTCCCACTGGGCTCCCAGAAGTGAGGTACTCACAGTTTCAGGACAGCTGACCTTTTGCCCAGCATCATATTCACAAAGTCTCTGTAGGAGATGGTGTCGCTGACCCCACCTGTCACTTCTGAAATCATCTTCTTCATCTCCAGGTGAGTCTTCGGGACCCCCAGCTTCTCCATCATCCTCTTTAAAGACATCAGGTCTGCGGGAGGAGAAGCGCATCTGCTTAGTGGACACAGGCTGCTAAGGTGGAGCCCAGAAGTCAAGGATGTGCCATTCCCATTGGTTCTGTGGGATGTCATTTCCCAGCAGTCTGCAGCCAATGGTGTTTCTTCTCCCAGGAGGAAGAGT